GATCGTGAGGACCTTGGGGAATTTTGTGATGCGGGCGGAGGCCGCGATGCGCCGCTTGGGTGCGTAGCGCGAGTCTGGCAGCGTCACGTCTTCGGGGACGTTGTCGGGGTCGAACGCAATGGCGTGCTGCAGTTTCTTGAGCTCCGCCGTCTTGGCGTGCCGGAAGCTGTCGGACGGGGACTTTTCAATCTCTTTCTTGAGCATTTCCTCGGCGTGCACGAGGCGGCACTTTTCGCACTTGAAGTCGTCAATGTACTCCGTCTTGAAGATCTCGTCAAAGCACGAGCTCAGCGTTGTCGACCTGACCTGCGGAACGCGAAGGGTCAGGGTCACAAACGTCTCGGTTTTCGGTGCCGACTTGTGGCCGCACGTCTGGCACTCGAGCTGCGACTCGTGCTGGCCCTCCATGGGGAAGCCCTCGTCCTCGTCCTGCAGCGCGTTCGGCACGACACCGTTGGTCTGTATCGTGGGTGGTGTGGGGTTGGCCGAAGAGTCGGTCCCCGTGGCGCTACCAGAGTTGTTCGGGTCTGCCGCAGCCGCCGCCGCAGCCAAGCCTTCGAGCCTCTCCTGAATAGCGACGCCGTCGACGGGCTGCGAAGCAATGGTGCCCTGGGCGACGGCGTTCCTCGCGTGGGCCCTGGCGCGCTCGCCGGCGTGGTACTCATCCTTGAGACGCTCGGCGACGATCTGCAGGAACTCCTGCGCATCCTGCTGCTGGCGACTGATGCGCTGCTTAAAGGCCTGCTCGAGGACCCTGACAAAGTCGGCGGCCGAGGTGCTCTTCTTGTAGATGGGCCTCTCGTTGAGGGCGTCGAGCATATCCTTAAGGCCCTGTGAGACGATGCCCTTTTGGAGGTTCTGGAGCTTCCACTGCGGCAGCGCCTGGCCTGCGGGCTGGACGAGATGGGCGTAAACGGCGGGGTCCTCTATGTACCGCCTGTGCGTCTCGCGGATCAGGTAGATGCGGAGGTCGCCCAGACGGCGAGGGCCTGGAGGGTCGAGTTGATGAAGCAGTCGTTGGCATAGTTGCGCAGGCCAACGACGCCTTTTTTGCGTGAAGATGATGTGGCGGCCTCGTCAATGGCAAAATTGGGAGCAAAGACGTAGACGAGAGCGATGGCGGCGAGGGAGGCGCCAGCAGCGTAGGATATGGTGGTGATCTGTTTGTCGGGCATTTTGGAAGTTGGCGGAGGCGGGCGCCCCAGAGGTGGAGGGGGAACGGGCTGTCGTCGGCGAGGGCAGGGTCACAGCCAGAGCAAGTTGAGAATGCAAGTCGGGAAGCAGAAAAGGGGGGGGGGGGAGAGCTCGGCAGGGCCGGAAGAATACTCAATGCCGATCGGAAGTATCGATCAAAGCAGAGCAGAAAGAGGTCGGCGGACTGACGTAGAGGGAAATGTCAGACTCGTCAGCAAAAGCATGCAACATGGTACCCAGGTCAAGGAAAAAAGAAATGGTCTGGCAATCTGTAGAGCGTCGTCGTCGTTGGGGCCAAGGACACCGGGCGGACAAGTCGGGGAAGTAGAGGTCCGCGGCGGGTTGGCGTGAGAGAAAGAATCTGGAGAAAAAGCCGGGGATCCGACTAAGCCGCGAGGGGGCAGGCTGACAACGGCGACAAAGAGAGACCCGAAGCAAGACGAGGCGAACGAAAGCTAGTCCCGTCTGTTCCTAGCACGAGGTCGGACCGAGAGCGATGATGACCTGGTGCCTGTTTCTCCGCACCGCCTCTTGTGGGCGTGCCTGTGCCTGTGCCTGTGCCTGTGCCTGTGCCTGACGTGGAGCAGCATCGGACAAGGGCAAATGGACAGAGACGGGGGGGGGAGGGGCGGGCGTTTGAAAGTGGCCGTCTGGTCGTTGTGGTGGAGGCTTGGAGAGCCAGGATGCCAGGATGGAAGCCTTGGGCTTGGGAGGGAAGGGATCTGGAAGAATCCGCCGCCCCACGTTTGCGTGTGCGTGCGAACTGACTGTCGGGTCTTCGGATCCGGGTGCCGACGGCTGACTCAGCAGGCCCCTTTGGCTGTAGAGGGGATTATTCGACTATCAACGCGATGAACGACAAATCTTTACGGACAGAATACTCGTTTCAATTACGATCGCATCTTTCTCGACATCTCAAAATTCGTATCCTGGCATGCTTTGACATACTTGACATGCTTGACATGTGCGGCATGCTTGGCATGCTTGACATGCCTTGATCCGCTCAGTTGGGCGCCACGTACTCATTGATTGTCGGCGCCGTGGCCAGGTCAATCTTGACCTTCCACTGGCTCGTCGCCTGACCGAAGCTCGCCTTGACCGCCTCGCTGCCGTACACGCGCATTTCCTTCTCGTACGCGTCGGTCACGCCCCGCCACTGCTCGCCGTCGCCGCGCTCCCAGGCTTCGACGAGGAGCCTGCCGAGGAGAGCGGCGTCGCGCACCGCCGTGTTCGCGCCGTTGCCGCCAGCAGGCGTCATGGCATGGATGGCATCGCCAATGACGGTCACGCGCGGCTCGTTCGTCCACGTGGGCACGCCGTTCGGGTCCGAGCACGAAATCTTCCAAAACGCCGCTTCCTGCTCGTTCATGTTGTCGAACAGGGGCTTCACGCGCTCGTGCCAGTGTGCCGTCAGCGCCTTGGCGATCCGCGCCGCCGGTGCGCCCGTGATGGTGTAGTCGTCGCTCGGCGCCTTGATGACGCCCGGCGAACCGACCATCGTCCACCCAAAGACCAGGTTCGGGTCGTGCATGTCGCCGGCGCGCACGTTGGTGATGACAAAGACCATGCCGTCGTCGGGCTGCGTCGTGTCGTCAACGAGGCGGAACACGCCCTCGCCGAGCCCCAGGAACGCCGTCGTCGGCGCCTGGCCGTGGATGCCGCGCGCGCCGAGGTCGTACACCTTGACGGCGCCGTCGGTGAGCTGCG